CCCTCCTCCTAAGCTGACACCTGCTGCTGACCGGAAGGCAGGAAGGAGCTGGGCTCCCCGACAAGAAAGCAGCTAAGCCACTAATCCCCCAGGGTCCTCACGGTCATGGACAAGGCTGCAGACACACCACTATGTCCCTACTGGGAACCAGAAACACACCGGCAGGCCGGTTAACTGTGACCGGTGAGGTGACAGCTGCAGATCACCCAAGATGGCACGACACTAGAATGACCCGACCCACAGCAGCAGGGGAAGGCCAGATGCCGAAAACTCACCCCTCGCCCGCCCTTGAGAAGCTGCCAAGAAACCACTCCCCCGGAACAGGAGGTGCGTGTGTAAAAGGCTCGTGCTGTGCTGCACCCATCTGGACGGATGCATGCGTAACAGAGAACCTTCCAGGCCCTGGAGCCTCATCAGTGGATGAGACAGGAGCAGGAAAACCTGGCCTGCGCTCAACGCTGCCACAACTTAGCTGTGTGACCTGGAGCTGCCAACCTTACTTCCCTAATGTCTGCTGCCTCCGCCCTGAAACAGGTAGGCTGGCTGCAGCTCAAGCATTTAAGTCAGCATCCAGGGATGACAGCCATCAACAGCTCCCTGCCGGCAGGGGGCTTACATTCCAATCAGGACTCTTCTCAGGTCATTTTCCATGATAACTTTTCTTATTCTACAGAGATAATTCAGTAACGGGGCACCTGGCTGGCTCAGTCGCTACAGCACATGACTCTTGATGGTGGGATTGTGGAGCTGTGACCCCAAGTGATAATAAATTATTTTATAATAAGGATACCAGCAGACACCTGCTGGCACTACCTGTGTCAGGCTCCCAGCAAAGAGAAAACCTTGAAAACTACTTCATTCACCTTGAAAACCACTTCATGTTGGGCACTACACTGTTCTTTTCTTTTCTTTTTTTTTTAAGATTTTATTTATCCATTCATGAGAGACAGAGAGAGAGGCAGAGACACAGGCAGAGAGAGAAGCAGGCTCCTCACAGGGAGCCCGATGCAGGACTCAATCCCGGAACTCCAGGATCATGCCCTGAGCCAAAAACAGACGCTCAACTGCTGAGCCACCCAGGCGTCCCAACACCCCTGGTTTAAACAGCGAGAAACTGAGGTTTGGAGGGGCTCATGTGGGGTGCCCACAGTCACCCAGCTGCCACTCAAGGCAACTGGAAATAGGCTGAAGAAATGAGATCTCCGTTGATCAACAGATAAGGTCCTGGCTTCTTACACATAAGAAAATGGTAACCCGGGGAGTGGAGAAGGCTTTATTACATACAAGGATAATTAGGGCAGATGAGGAGTTACACCCAGACTCGCCTGTGCCCTAAGTGGTTTAGTGGCCTCCTGGGTTTTCCGCACGAGAAAAAGAACCCACAAGCTTGAGCAAAACTCTTCTAGGCAGCCAACGCTTCTGCCCAAAGGGACTGACAAAATGATATGACATGATTGATCCCAATCATGCCTGTTCTTCCAACAGCTTCAAATTAAGTCATCTTTTTTAGAATAGCACGACCATTTTAATTTTTTAAGACAGACGGGAGGAAACTCTTACATATTTCACAAAATGAAATAATCATCAGGCGAAATAGGAAGATACAGAATGGACCCATCGCCCTCTGATCAAAATGTACTTCGCTAATTAACGGCCACTAGTCTCCAAAGAGTCGCCCCTCGACTAGTTAATAAAGGCCCATTATACTTCACTTGAGAAGTGAACATTTACATCGCAAAGGGGGATAAATGAACTGCAGGATTCAAAACCCCTTCCTTCGGGTCGCTCATTAAAATTCTGGTCAAAACGGATTTTTATTTATATGATACATTAAAGAATATTATGACAGTACTAATGTGAAATCTGCTCCTCATTCCCATGGCTTTTCTTTCATATTAAGTTACAGTTTCTTTCCACTAGCCTTGTTTTAACACCTCCACGAATATTTCTCTGGTGAGTGCTAGCGAAGAGGGACAGCCAGAAAGCAGAGAAATGCATTTTAACCGAAGCCCATGCTGACATTTCATTTACAAAAGCTCCTCACCCAGCCCACGAGGAGGGGCACAGTCCACCTTGCAGCGAGACCCCTACACATCCACACACAGAAGTTTTATTGAAGAGAGATAAACAAAATAACAAATAAGGCTTGACTTAAACTCCTATACTCCCACCAGCCCGGTTTTCAGTCTGAAATCCCCACGGCCAGGCTCAAATTCTATTAGAAACTAACTGTTGACAAGAGAGGCACTCTCTCCCCACCCCATCCCAACTCCCGGCCAGCACACACCTCGCAGATTCCCCAGCCACTTCCCTGGAGCTGAGCAAGCCCAGAGCCCTGTGACAGGGTGCCCCTCCACACAGCCAGCCAGAGTCACCCAACAGGATGACATCACACGGGCTGGGTGAATCACCCAACCAGGGAATGTCGAGTCCACACACAAACTGCGCACACTGGCTGCAGTTGTGTTCCTCAAAACCTGATGACCACCATGAGCTTCAATCTCTGCCTGAACCCACAGGTGCCACTCCTAGAAACCCCCACAGGACAGCACATTGGGTGGGGGCCCAGTCTGGAGTGAGACTGCCCGCACCCCACTTCTCAGCCACTTTGTGCCTCGCTTTTCTCATCTATCAACTGGACATAATACTAGTACCCACACCTCAGAAGACACAGGTGAAGACTGCATGAGTTGATATATGTAACGTCCCTACAACAGTGCCTGGCACATAAAATCATTTAACGTCGCTATTATCGCTAGATCTCTCGTGGTGACTGCTATGAGAGCCACCAAAATTAACAGTAAAAACAATATATGGTACTACTACGCACCAGATCTTTTTTTTTTTAAGCACTTTACTTTTATTAATTTATTTAATCTGCACAAAAACTCGGTAAGATGGGGTATATGAGGATCCAAGAAATCAAATGATTTGCCCAAATCCACACAGCTAATGAGAGGCAGAGATAGGATCCAAACCCAGGCTGCTGAGCTTGAACAACAATGAAAAAGATGATTAAATGGTAGTAGTGAAGATGAGGAGGGATGAGGCCCTCACCCTGTTCCAGGCTCTTTTTCACTCTGCACTAACAACCTGGTGAAGGAGCTACTCCCATCACTCACATATTACAGAGGAGCGAACAGGCTGGGAGAGGTGGTTTTTGTTCAGTGTCTTGGGACCTGAGATGCAGATGGAGATAAGAGATAGGAAAGTCCTTGGGAACGGGTTCCATGAAAAGCAAGGTATTGTTATGCAACCCCTGGAACTCCGCGGAAAGATGTCCTCCCCCAACTGGTATAATATTTACTCAGGTCTACAAGTCTGACAATCCACCTAAAACATCCCAGCCTTGAACAAGTCCGAGAAATAGTCTGTCTCATTTTCATGTTGAATGCATCACCGAAAAACCAAATGCCAGAGTATGTTAAAATGAAATATAGCCTTCCTGGTTTAAAAAAAAAAAAAAAAAGTGGGGGGGGGGATGAGTGGTGGTCAATAAAAAGGAAGAGAAAACATGTCAAACCCAAGATTTGACTAAGTCAGGGATTTTTCCAGTTTCCCTCTAGGGTAATCTGATCCTAGTTCTGGATGATCAAATGACTAACCTGGAAATTTGAAGATTCACACTTACGGAAGAAACAGCAATTCTTCCAAACCCAGGAAATACTGCTAATTCTGGAAGCCTCTGAAATGTCAAGGATCACACACAGTTTGAAAAGCAACCTTTACACAGTTAACAGTCTCAAAGTTTGTGCTCGGTACAGAAATAATCTAACCTCTTTGGTTCATTGATTCCTATTATTTGCTTAATCGTTGGAGGAGAAAAAAATGCCTTAAGAAAGTATTTTTGGTATATTTGCTGAAAAGATTTGTGTTTCCTTCGAAAGAAAAGAAGAAAAGAAAAATAACATGGGGGGAAAAAAAAGGAAGGAAGAAAGGATCACATGGCAGGCTCCAGACCTGAAATTCTCAAAATATCATCCACAAGTGCCAACTTTTTCATTAAAGTTCCTCATCCCTCCCCTTCACACAATTAAAAGGTTCCACTGGTGGGAGACTATGCTTGAAGAAATAAATGGAATTTGCAAAAGCAACAGCTTCTTCCCTTTATGACCATGATAGGAAGCTTCACCTTTTTCCCTTTCCCTCAAAGAATGACAAGGCCACAAGCCACAGAAAAAGTCTACCTATCTCCCAATATTACACAGGGAAGAAAAAAGTATAATTAAAAGGTACAATTTTCACATGTAAGCCCATAAATTTCACCTTCAGTTCCCTGTAGCTGTTTTCATATCCACAGCTGGCAAGCTCAGCAAAAACTCTATTAGCCACACATTGTGAAAAAGTGAAGGCCTATCTTAATCCTCTCAGCAAATCTTATGCTACTGCTCCTCCAAGGCTACAACGTGCTCAGAACTTCTCCCCCAGGCCCCAACACATGCACCTAGAAGCAGCACTGCCGGTTTCAAGTGTGCCCAGACTGCTCACACCAACGTGAAACCAAGACATCCACTGCCTCGTCTGTCAAATCTATGGCTTTATTGGTCTACAAAGTTGTTCTTTCAAAAGAAGACAAACTGCATGCATTCTACTCCTCTCCATGCACTCCAAGTGGTAAGGCCTCAGAAGAGAACCCTCCAAAAGAGAGTCACAAGGAAATGTCCATGTTCTCCTGATAGGATCTTGGCAAACTTAAAAAAATAAACAGAACATTTGCATAAATATTGCAACAGACAGCTCTCTGTCCTGCCACAGAGGATCAGGCTTGCCCCTGCCCCCTGTTGGATGCTCAGAACCCACCTCAGGGATGGCTAAATTGCAGACACACAAGAATATCTCCCTGGAGTTCCTTGCCTGGCCTGGACTCTCACAGCCACATGCTGATACCCTGATGGAACCTGACGGTTTCAACGCTTCATTGCCAGGACTCTGTTTGAAACGTGAAATCCTTGGCAACCATCGCTGAGTGCTAAAATCCTATTATGAATTCTCCTACTTACCTTGGGTTGTGCCCGACGAGGAAATGCAACTTTAGGATCAATCTGGGGGGAAATGGAAAAGTAAGAGTCAATTCCAGGATTTGGCAGAGAGGGAGAAAAAATTATGATTAATCACCTAATTATTAATCACTCATTTCTCAGGCTTATCACCCAGCTTTTTGTAACTTCTCGGGCAACTCAAAAGTTCCTTAAACGTTGATCCAAACTTTACTCATCCTTCCCACAATGTAACACATAAAGTTGGCCCTTCCAAAATATCCCACCATGTATTTCAATGTGTGATGCCCTTAATAAATCAGATCTCACACATGTTCTTATTTAAGCAAGGGCTTCTCTTCCACAGACACTGGACATTAAGCGGTACCCGCATCTAAAGTGCAATGCATCAGTGGGAGAAAAAATGGGGATGTCATCATTGAAAACAAAATCATAACCTGAAAAATTAAACATAAGAATCTTTCAGGAGTCGATAACTGGATAACAGATCTTCTCCCCGACGATAACTAAACAAGGCAGGTGGAAATGGTGACTCCAAATTTTTTTTAAATCATCAACATCCAAAAACTCCCCATAGACATCCAACACGATGCTTGGCTTGATTTCATTCATTCATGTTGGCAAAAGTACAGTTACCTAGGTTAACCAAAAAGACAGTTCATTCTGTAGTTAGACCACAAGAAGAAGCAGGTGTCAAAAACTATGGAGCCTAACCCAGTTCTTAAAAAATAATAAAAGGAAACACACGAGCTAAAACCACCTGGATTTTTAAAATCACAGGGGGTAGAAGTCTATGAGCAACCTAAACCCAAATTACAAAAGTAAGGCCCTCATGGGTAGAGGGGGAAAAAGAAAAAAAAAAAAAAAAAAAAAAACCTGAGAAAAAGAAGTTGGAATCTAGTGTAACAATTAGGGTATTCCCCTGTCCCGACCCCAATCAGAATGGAAAAACATCCCCTACCCCAGATCAGACACTCTGCAGAACACATGATTCTCAAAAGGGACATGGCTTTAAAACTCAAAAACAGGGATCCCTGGGTGGCACAGCGGTTTGGCGCCTGCCTTTGGCCCAGGGCGCGATCCTGGAGACCCGGGATCGAGTCCCACGTCGGGCTCCCGGTGCATGGAGCCTGCTTCTCCCTCTGCCTCTCTCTCTCTCTCTGTGACTATCATAAATAAATAAAAATTTAAAAAAAAAAGTAAAACTCAAAACAATTCCCACAGAAGCTTCTGAATCTAATACACTGATTCAAGGTGGGAAAGTATTGGAGAGAAAATATGGGGAGGGAAAGAATTTTTTAAATCCCCATGATTGGTTTTCAATAGATTTCTAAACGTCACAAATCTTTGGGTAAAATTTCAACAGAGAATATTGCTACAAGTTATTTATTTATAGGCTCTGGCTTTCGTAATGCAATTCTCCCCCTTCTAAAATGTACACCTGAACCTTGTTTTCAGTTCGGCCATGGGGAAGCAAAAATGCTATGGGACAAAGCACAGAGTTGGGGGGAGGGCAAGGCACACCAGAGAATTCTTGTTTCCCAGACCCACATCCCTTAGGACACTGCAGCTGAGAAGGGACACAAAGATTTACCACCTTTATCAAGGTGGTTTAAAGACCTAATAAAATCCACAGCTTGTTTTTTACCCTTAAACATCACCTGAGAAATGAGGGATTACTTTTCAAAAACTAAAATAGACAAAAATCTCTGATCTAGGAAACTACCCTCTCATCCAGATTAACATTACCGCATCTACAGGTGTATTCAGCACTGACTAGAGAGATACAACAGGTGTGGATTTTCCATTCTGTTGACCAAACGTAAGACAGATGTGTCTTTTTATAAACACTCCCCCAGACTGTGGCTTTTAGCGGACCAGCACACAATCACCGCAAGAAGTCACCTTGTCCATGGAGTCAAAGGTGAGGGACATGTTGGGAGGAGACCAGGAGGGGGACGGGAAGGAGACAGGAAGCACTGAACAGAAGAACGCTCAAAAAAATATCTAAAATGACAGAACTCGAAGCCAATTCAGAATTCCTGTATTGGGTGTTGTGATAACAGCATGTCAGACCACCACACGAGTTCTCCAGTGTGCAAAGTTTACAAGCTGAAATCTCCAAAGGAGGGGACAGGTCAAGATAAGTATGGCAAATCCCAACCTTTTGCACGTCCCTGTCAACTATTAAACACACACACACACACACACACACACAACAACAAAAACAAAAAAAAAAACTACCAAAAATAAAAACATTAGTTAGTTAGGTACAGCTCTACTTACTGTAGCTACAAATCCTCTAGGAAAAGACTAGGGTACTATTTTGGATGTGAATGGCCGTTACCTAAACAAAGCTTTTAAGGTAAGGGTAAACAAGATCCTCGTTTCCATGTCAATAAACCAACCGCTTCTGCCTCCTGCACTGAACGTTGAAACAAAGTCAAAATCTAGGTTATACTAAATAATAGTGACCAAAACATACCCACAAACAGTTAGGGAGGGGGGAAACGGCACATTTTGCACCTGATACTGAGGGCTATGACACCCCCGCCCCCCCCCCCCCCCCGGCCCAGGCACCACAGAAACCAAATACTATTTCTCCTACCCAGTGTGGGGAGACGGAGTGAACAATAAATTCCTGAATTTGCCTCGAAATATTTTCCTCTTTAGTTTTGCTAGTTTTTTGAAACGTCTAACCAGGAAGTCGAAGGGGAAAAAAAATTCTTCAGACATCCATTATCACCCTACAAATGACTGTCCCTAAAATTAAATTATCTAAAAGCTCAAAAAGGCCGGGCTGCAAGCTATGACGAGTCCAGCACAATTAATAAAGCAACTTAAAGTGTGTGGGGTCATCTTGGGGGGAGGAAAGAGGGGGCACTAGGGAACATACACCTGACCTCCCATCAGAGAAAGAGAGTGAATTCGCAAAAATAAATTCCATGCACCAAAGGTGTCCAGGATTTTCTCCTTTTTATTTCCCCCTTACCCTCAATGTGAAAGCTTGGAGGGGGCTTGGAAGATCACCCAGTTCCACTCCCATATATTACAGAAAAGAAAACTGAGGCCCTGAAGCAGCAAACAGCTTGCCCAAGTTCATTAAGGGCAACTGGGACAAGAACCTGATCCTTCGCCTTGCCCCAATACCCACCCAAAGAGAAGTGCGGTCACAAGCAGCCCAGCACTGCACCCCAATGTCACCTCGGGGCCCCTGCTTTGGCAGATCTATGAAACTATGGGGGAGATTCTAGTAGACATAAAGGGAAGGGGGAGAGCCACAGAGTCAACACAGGGACCTAAGGAAAAAACTACGTAGGAGCTCTCCACCACCCCCCATTACTGTACTAATGTCTTTCTTCCCTTTGGTAATCCCTACCCTAGAGACTTTTCCCCCCTCTCCATGTAAGTCTCTGAAACCTTCTAATGCTGTAAAAGTACCCACACTCAAAATAAAGGATCTGAGAGGGAAAAAGGCAAAAACAAATCACTCAGACACCCAAGGCCTTATCAGTCTTAGATTTCACCCCATCTGGAGTCACCCACTGGACACCCAGCTTGGCTCTGGGAGGTCTCCTTCCCCTCTCGAACCACCTTCCAAATCTGAGGTGCTCCCCAGGAGGAACCTGTTGCCTGGACCTGCGATGAGCACCCCCTCGCCTTCCCTCCCAGCCCCGGCCACTGGCTGGCCACCGCGCGGGCTGTGCCTTCTGAAAACCAATGCCCCACAGCCACAGTCCTTCAGGCATGCTGTGCTCTCGGCTGACAAAGAAAAGTTGCCTTTGCCCTATGGTGCAGTTTCTTTGCATGGTCCCTGGGCCGGGTAGAGAGCCTCTCGCCAGGCCGACCCCTCCCCCAGGCCTGGGCTCTGACAGCATCTGGAACTGCAGTGGGACAGGCTCTACACAGAACACCCCCCAAGCCCAGCCCTGGCAGCAAACTTTTAGAGCCAACTCGCAAGCCCTGCTGATCACACTCCCCAGTTCTCAGCACAGAAGCAAAAAAGAAAGCACTGTCCCTTTAAATGGGGCTGTCAATGCCCAGATGGGTCCTGAACAGGGGCGAACAACAACAGCGAGGGAAAAAGCAACCTACCGTCTTGGAATCTAACTCATGGTGGGGCTGACCTAATACTTTATCTACACTTGCTGGATCTGCGAACGTGACGAAACCGAAGCCTCTGAAATGAGACAAAGAGGGAGGAAAACAAACAAGAAAATGTGACACCATGGCAAGCAACAAGGAGTGAGCCCTCCCGCAGGATGGGGAGCCAAAGTTGGCCCCTTGCACCCCCGCTGCCCACAGCCCTCCCCCCCCCAGCCCCTCGCAGGAAAACACATCAAGGTTAAAGGGGGGGGTGGGAAACGGGGTGGGGGGGCAGGGCGGGTGGAGGTAACTTGGGAAAATGCTGGTGTCTCCACTCTTTCGCCACCTCCGTCCGTCTCTTCTCCTCCTCCCCTTCCCTTTCTTAACGCTTTGTTTTATGCCGAAGAAAACCCGGCGCTCAGCAGAGATTCATCCAGCTTTCCAAAAGGGGCTGAAGAGTTCAGGGGAGCTGGGAGTGTGTGGGGAAAGCATACGTTTAAAAAACCAAAAAACTATGTAGAAAGTGAATGAAGCTGAATGTCATTTTAAACAGGAGGAGGAAAAAAAAAAAAAAGAAGCAACGGGAAAAGGACTTAAAGCGCAGAGATGGGCATCTCTGTATCCAGAGTTCAGCCCCAATTAACAATAACCTTTGGGGGGGTGGGGGTGGGGGGGGGGGGTGGGAGGGGGGGTGGAATAGAGCGACGTTCGAAACCAGCCACATGCCTGAGCCCCATTCTAAATCCGCTTAGCTACTTCCGAAGACACCTCCAAAAATAACACTTAAACTTTGTTCTAAAATAAAGACAAAAATCCAGAAGGGAATGGTTTACCTGGAGCGTTTCGTAGTGGGATCTCTCATGACCATACATTCTCTAATTTCTCCAAATTTGCTAAAATAGTCTCTAAGGCTATCTGTAGAGAGAGAAAGAGAAAGATGGGGGGGGGGAGAGAAGGTGTGGAAAAAAAAAAAGGCAATGCAAATTTTGATCAAGGACAAAAACCAAAAGTAGTTTTCTGTTGTTACTCTGTTTTGTTTTTGCATTTTTTCTGCACACGCGGGGGAAATTCGGCCACAGAGGTCGCGTAGAGGGCTCGGAGAGGATTTGCTATTTAAAAAAATAACCTTGCACAGGAGAAGTGGGGAGCCAATGGCGGGGGGGGGCTCGCACACTGGGATAACAAAGAGCAATAAAGAAGCCAAGAAGGGGGGGACCCAGGCGTCCCCCCCTCCCTCCCTTACCTGGTGAGGTCTGCCAGCTTAGTCCACCGATAAACATTTTACTGGAGGGAGAAAACATAACAGAAGTGAGCACCGATGTCAGATCGGCCATTTTGACGTGTAACTTACAAAAGCTAAAAGGAAAGCGGGGGGGAGCGAGCGAGCGGGAGCCGGGGGGTGGGGGGTGGGGTGGGGGAGAAGGAGAAGGCGGCGGCGAGACGCAACCCAAAGGTGTGTAACTTCCCCGGGGGGGCGCGGGGCGCGGGGCGCGGGGCGCGGGGGGCGGGGGGCGCGGGAGATGCCGGGCTCCGCGCGCCGCCGTCCCCGCCGCTGCAAGGAGAGCGAGCCCGCGGCGGCGCGGTGGGCAGCGGCTGGAAACTTACCCGGGGTCGTGCTGGGAGTCGTTGGCGCTGCCCGAGGTGCCTTGGCTCCCATTTGCCTCCATATCTGAGCCCCCCCGCCCCCCCACCCCCGGGAAACCGAGCCCCACAGCGAGCGGAGCGGAGCGGCGGCCGGCTCCGAGCCCCGAGATCTCCCGCTCCCTCCTCCCCCTCCGCCGCCCCCCCGCCCGGGCGCCTCCGAATCGCTGTGCGAGCCGCCGAGCCGGGGCAGCGGCGAGAGCCGTCACACGTGGGCTCGGCTTAGCTCAGCCCCGCCGCTCGCACGCCCCCCCGTCCCCGCCCCCCCGGCCCATCCCCACCGCCCCTCCTCCCTCCTCCTCCCCACCCCCACCCCCGCCCCTCCTCCCCCCCCCCCCGGCGCACGTGGGGCGGAGTTCTAGAACGTCGTGTAACCAAGGCCGGTGACGTCACGCACCCGGTGCGGCCCCCGCCTGCCCGCGCGCGCACACCCGGCCCCCCGCGGCCGGACCCAGGGGGGCGGCGCGCGGACCCCGCGGCCGCAGGGGGCCCCGCCTCCGGGCGCGGGGGAGCGCACCCCGACTTCCCGGGGTCACGTGGGCTGCGGGGGGGGGCGGGGGCGCCGGGGGGGCGGGGGCGGCGCGGGGAGCTGGCGGCCGCTCCTCGCTCGGGCAGGGGAGAGGACGCCCCCCGCCCCGCCCCGCCCCGCCCCGGGTCGGCGTCTCGGTCCGAGTGCGCCGGCCCCGGCCGCCGGGACCCGGGGACCCGGGGACGCCGCCCGCCGCCCGCCGCCCGCCGCCCGCCGCCCGCCGCCCGCCGCCCGCCCGGCTCTGCGCCCTTTCTCCAGCCACACCGCGCAGAAATTTAGGTCAAGGACGTCGGGATCCAACCCAAACCCCGGCGCCCCTCCGCGGGCCCCGAGACGCCCCCCCCCCGGCCCCGGCCGCCCAGCGTCGGGGAGCCCCAGGGTCGCGGAGACCCCCCCGCACCCACGGCAGCCACAAGTTTTTATTTTCCTTTGGCGCTGGAAGTTCTCTCTGGCTCTCGCTCCACACCGGCACGTCCTGCGCCACTCCCCGCCCTCCCCCGGCAGAGGTACGAAGCCCGAAGCCCTCTGCCGCGCCGGGGGAGGTTATTTTGGGACTTTGAGAGACTGACGAGACTCCTCCGGTGAGAAAGCGCCCGCCCAAGGAGGGGTTTCCGTGTTGATCATACAGAGCTTGAAAAATAGGATCAAATAGGTCTGTAGAGGTCAAGGTCAAATGACTGGGGTTCGACGCCAATTTCTGTGTACAGGGACAGATAGTTTTGAAGCATCTCTGGGATGGCTCGGGAGGGTGGTGGTGGTCAGGAAGCCCCTCTCCAACCGCGTCGTTATACATTTTTATTATTTCTATGCCGAGATAGTAAAATGCATAAGGTTGAAATAGCCCAGGACCCCCCCCACCACCCCACCACCCCAGCCTCACCACCCCACCACCCCACCACCCCACCACCGCCGCCGCCGCCGCCGGCGCCAGTTTGCGGAGGTAACTGAGGGAAGCAGAAGGCTTCGGGCGCACGCACCCCCTACCACCTGGGTAGCGGCCGCCCACAGTAGGTTTTTAATAGACCACTGGTCCTGGCACACAGTAGGTTTTTAATAAATCACTGGTTTCATCCCTCCCCGCCCTGAAAACCCCGAAAAGACGGTGCCTGTAGCTTCCCAAAGGCATCGCACACTTGGATTCCAGGCTGGCCAGACTCAGACTGGATTCAATTTATGGGGTATTGAAAACAATAAGGATACAATTATCCTTATTGTTTTAAATTATTACAATAAATTGAGTTAATATGGCATGAGGGGCAACATAAAGTTGTGGTTCATCAAATACTCAGATTAATGTTAAGTATGAATTGATGCCCAATTAACACTTTTCCATTAATTTTCATAGGATTAGGACACAATGGAACACACTCAACACCAAAACTATACCAAATCCAGTGTGGGTCGTGGAAAAGTGGAATACTTGGAAAATCCCAACACTACCCAAAGCCTTGGATGACCAGATTGTTAATCTCCCTGCCTCTTATTTTTGAGATAATTCCTCACTAACAGGATTGATGGGGTGAAAGGAGAGATTGAAGTAAGTAAATATAAAAGTCTCCTTTTGACTGCAAACCTATGTGGGATGTGCTTATTATCAATCATTACTTGCTATGATTTTTTTTTTTTTTAAGGCACTTTAGAGCTTTAAACCACAAAGCCAAGCATTTTCCCGTCACTCCAAGCTGCTTCCCAAATCATCCGGGGTCTGGTGTGTTGAAGAGCCAGTTTTTATTATGGTGATTGTTTATTATGACTATCCTCAATAACAAAATGCAGACAACAAAGCTAATTGCATTTTGTTGGGGATTTTGACACTAGAACCACAGACCATCAGAGGTAGAAAGGCCTTTCCTGATCCAACTCCCCCCACCGCCCCATTTTACATCAGGATCCCAGAGGAGCCAAGCTACGCAGGCTACACCCCACCCCCAGCAATCAGCCAGCTGCTTAGGGGGGCTCTGGCCATCACTCTGCTGCCCTTTGGCTCTGTGGCATGCATATTTATTCTGTCCTCCACAAGGCAAGAGTGGGGTGCCCTTGTTCCCTGTTGTAGACCTGCATAAGCTGACACTGAACTGAATTAAAACCCTGAGAGGGGCTGGCACTGCAATTATAAAGTCAGTGGTTGAGAGAGAGCTTGATCTTATATTTCCATTACTACATTGCTTTTACTTATTTTTCATTTATATGCAGTCATATTTACTCCGCTCAGTCTATAATTCTATGAGTTTTTGACAAACGCATAGGATTGGGTTATCTCCGCAATAACCAATCCAAGATGCAGAAGAGTTTCATTGTCCCCCCAAAAAATTCACTCGTGCTGCCCCTTTGCACTATGTTATATGGAATGACTTATTATTTATTATGCATTTCTTCTCCAGCTCATCCACTTAATGCAGCCCCTGGGTCGGGAGGATTCCAGCAGGACGATGTCAGTCCTCTACCCTCTCTGTTGCCCATGACCTCATTAGACACTCCCTTCATGTAACTCACTCTTCACTTGGCGTCCTTGATGCTCATGTTCTTTTGTTTTCCTCCTACCTCTCCAGCAGTTCCTTCTGTCTCTTTACCCTGACTTCTCTGCCTTTCCTTTAAATACTGGTGTTCATTCTCTCCCCCAGCTACACGGCCCCCCCCCCCATTAACTCCTCTAAATGGTGGGTTTTGATAGTACCTACTTGCTGATACCACTCACATTAAAATCTCCGGCCTGAGCTCTCCACGGAGCTATTCACCGTCTCCGCTTAACCTTCCTGGACGTACCCCAAACTCAACATGCATGTCCAGAAACACAGGCATGCGTTTTCCCCTTGAATCTAAAAAACTCTTTTAAGTTTCACTATATGGGTCAACAGAACCCCAGCCACCCTAGGGACGAGGTTGGCCCTTCTCCAGATTGACATCTTCCCGTATGCAATCCATCATGAAGACGTGTGTTTCACTTCCTAAGTATCTCTCAAACCCATCTTTCCTGCTGCTGCATCCTACATTTCCCGCTTGATCCCCTGTGATAGCCTTCTGAGCATTCTTCCCACACCATCTCTTAGTCCGTTAATGTGCCGGGAAACTTTCTCTGCCCAGGTTGAATCCCTCTTGGTAGTCACTGTTACCATCTCAGAATGTCCTCTGTGTACCTTACCTGTGCAATCATTTGCTTTGTTACTCATCTCCTCCACCAAACCATGAGCTCTGCTCTCCACATATTAGCACAGTGCCTGTATTACTGCATGGTTGACACTCAATAAATCTTTGTTGAACAAATGAAAGGATGAATGAATGAAGGATGGTCAACATCTAATTTAATTGTGGGACTTATTGTATCTGTGTCCATAAGTCAAATTGGCTGCAATTTTCCCTTCTTGTATTGCCTTTGTCTGGTTATACTGGCCTCATAAAATGAACTAGTAAATGTTCCTTCCTTTTTCATTTTCTGGAACAGTGTGTATAAAATTGGAATTATGTGTTCCTTGAATGCTTGGTAGAACTTTCCGGTAAAATGTCTGGGTATGGGATAAACATTTCCTAGGTTGATTTTTAACTACTGATTCCACTTCTTTTGTGGCTATGGACCTCTTTAGGTTTTATATTCTTGAGTCAGTTTTTAAACAGTATATTTTTCAAGTAAATTATTCATAGTAACTAGGTTTCTGAATTTATTAACAAAATGTTGTTGATAATTTCCTCTTAATGTATTTTAATCTCTGCTGCACCTACCCATTATGTCCATTTTTTCATTTCTAGTATTATTGTGTTTGTGTCTTCTCTTTCCTGGATCAGTGGTGCCAGAGATCTCCCTTTTATTAACTAGTGTTTCTTCTTTCTATTAGTGTTTTCAAAGAATTAGCTTTTAGTTTGGTTAACGCTATTTTTTGGTTTTATTAATTTTTGTTTATAAAATTAATAAATTCTTGTGTATAAGAATAAGAGCATATACCATATATAAGATTATATACCACGTTAAAGAATATAATCACATTGTGTGATAGTAATACATATGTATCTCTCATTATTTTCTTTTTTCTACTCTCTTTGGGTTTATTCTGTTGCTGTTTAAAATTTTTTTTTAGTTGGTGGCTTAAGTAATCAATTTTCAGCCATCTGTTTCTTTTTTTTTTTTTTTAAGATTTTATTTATTTATTTGAGAGAGAGTCTCAGAGAGATCCTAAGCAGCAAGGAGGGGTAGAGGGAGAAGCAGACTCCCTGTTGAGCAAGGAGCCCTCTGGTTGGGGTAGGGGGGTGGTCCTTCCCAGGACCCTGGGATTATGACCTGAGCTGAAGGCAGACGCTTAACTAACTAAGCCAACTAGCTGCCCCAGCCTTCTGTTTTCTGACTGTGATATAGAAGACTATGGCTTTCACTCTGAGTACCACTCAAACTACATTCCACAAGATAAAGAGAATTTTTATTATTATCCCAGGCAAAGAATAGATTTCAAATATGATTTCTTCTTTGGTTCAATACATGTGTATCTTTATATTTCTAAACATAAGTTTTTTGTTTTAATTTTTAGTTATTTATATCTAACTTAATTGAATTAGGGTCAGAGAA